GGAGCTTACGGGGCAGTGGGCGGGGCTCGCGCTAGTAGGCGGGCTCTCTGGGCTGGCCGGCCGGGCTCATGCTGCAGTGGGCGGGCCTCACCTGCGTCACGCGTGTCCAGGTCCAGTCCCAGCGCCGCCGCTCTCATTCTGGCAGTGGCTGCTCGGAGCTGCAGCCTTCGGCGTCGCGTGGGGACGTCAGGGCCCGAGGCATCCACGTCCAGCTCGGGGTTGTGGAGCTGCTCAGTCGGGGAGGCCCCGACCACCGGCGGCAGATACCTGCAAGCACAACATCCCTAAGGCTCCCGCCGCCCGCCGGGCCTCCCACAGCCAGCTGCCCCGGCCCTGTTCTCACCGGCCTCGCCCAACGCCAGTCCAGCAGGGCGCCGCCTCCTGCGAGATATCCGCTGCCATGCGGGAGTCCCCGCACACCGTCAAGGGTAGCCCGGCCCAGAAGCCCCGCACCCGGCCCAGCCGCTCGCGAAGCTCCCAAACCTGTGCGACAGACAGGGCGGGCCGAGCTACAGCGCGACCCCGAGACCCCTGCCCTCCTGCACCCCTCGCCCCGCCCGGCACGCACCAGCCGGTGCAGGTTGGTGCCTGCCGCCGTCGTGGGCCGCTCCTCCTCGGCCGCCGCCCTCCATGGCCAGCCCGCCTCTTCCCGGGGCGCTGGAGCTCTGCGGTGGCGGGCGGGCACCGGGTGGGGAGTCCCGCACTCCTGAAACGCCTGTGTAGGGAGCAGACCTTAACACCCTGCGGGCCACCCACACTGTCCCCACTCCCATCCTACATTCTCCTCAGATGCCCAAACTGCCCTCACCTCTACCCTTCCGCCCTGTATCTAGGCTCACACCCCACAGTGGCCTCCACCCCAGGCCACACCACCCTTCCCTCCCTGTACCTAGGCTGACACCCCACTGTTCCCCATCCTAGACCTCATCTCCATCCTTGCCTCCCATACCTTGGCTGACACCTTCACGCTGTTTTCCTGCAGATACATCAAACCCTCTGAGATCTTCAACCCAATGGACTCAGCAGCCAGTTCAAAGGAAAAGGGCCCCTGGAGCTTCTCAGCCAGGAGCAAGAGACCATCTTGAAGGAGGAGGAGGAGAAAGGGAAAAGGGGAGAGGTTGTACACTGAAGTAGGATGTTCCCACAAATCCTCACCAGGGCTTTGGAAGGAAGCAGCAAAGTATTGGAGGAACACCCCCTCCCACATTGTATTTGCCTCTCCATATGGCTCTAGGCCCCTCCCTACCCACACAGCCCTCAGCCTTTCGGAGGGCCCTCCTCCATCCCAGGCTTTGTTGACCCTCCTCACCCAGATAGCTGCCCCAGTCAGGTTCCAGTCCCTTGCTACTGAGACAGCCATGGGCCACATTGAGGCAGAAGCCTCGGCAGGGCATAAGTGAGGGAACTCCCCGGCAAAGGGGGCAGCCAATCAGACGCATCAGAGCCTGCCGGCAGCCTTCAGACACAGGCACCTGGAGGCAGAGAACTGGGCTGTTTCATCCACAAACACCCTGGTTGCTCTTGGTCATCCTGCTGCTAGGCACAAAGAGAACCCAAATGCAGTACCTAGACCCATGTCCCCACTGGTGACCACAAGACTGCCAGAGCTGAGTGGGGAAATTCCTAGGGGTCTGGTCACAGATTCTGCTTCATGGGAGGGGTATTACTGGGGAAAGTGTCTAAAGAAAGGTCAAGGACAAGAGCCTGTCCTGGCTGAGGAAGGAGGGATGGGACCATAAGGAGGCAGGAGGTAAAGCTGGGAGGTCAGAGAGAGGATGGGTGGTAGAGATAGGCCTTCAGCAGCAGAGAAGGAGTCATTGAGAGGTCCCGGGGGACCTGTGGGGTCAGTACTCTGATCTCGCTATGGAGATGAACAGGGCCTCAGAGGCTAGAGGGTGGTATAAGTCATCAGAGGGCAGGAGAGGGTCAGAGGTTATAAGAGAGCATGGAAAATCATGGTCAGTGAAGACTTAACTCCAGCCTCCGTCCTTCCTGATTTATCCTGGGGGGTCAGTGCCTGGAGGCTGATAGGAGAAGATCCCAGGCCTCTCTTGCCAGCTGACACCTGTCTTCCTCATGGGGTCTCTCCCTCTTCTTCCTCCCCCTCCCTGGGCCCTGCCCACACTTGGACCCCTTCTAACCTTAAGCGTTTCACTGACCACACTTCTTCCAGTCTCCAGGCCCTGGACAAAGGCTCTGGCAGCCACCAGAGCCCGGGTTATCTGGAGGAAGAGAAAGAAGGTGAAAAAACCCACAAGTTGTCATAGGTCAGTCAAGACTGGGGCCAAAGGATTACACCCAAGGTATGAGCAGTGGGGGTTAGGTTTGTGGGGTTATCTTGGAGTGGACAGAGTGTCAGGTGGAATTGAGAGGCAGGTTCAGGGGTTCCAAGAAATTACAGCCTAGAAGGACCAAGGAGAGCTGGGTTTGGGAAGGGATGTTGGGATTGTGTTGCACAGGGTGTGGAGACAGCGAGACTGTGTATCAGAACCCTGAATTTGAAGCCAGAAGACCAAGGTGTGAGGCACAGCTCTACCATTTACTGGCTGTAAGACCTGAATCTCTGAGAGCCCCAGGTTTCTCATCTGTAGAAAAGGATACTGTCATGTATCTGAAAGAATTACAATGACAATTAAGTGACATGCTGTAAGTGAAAATGCTTCTCAGCTATTATGCCTAATTCGTGTGTATTTGAGCCAGGGAAAGTCAAGATGTTAGTTAGAATTAGGCAGGAGTTGGCAGAAAAGTGATTTGGCTGGGGTGACCAAGGCTTGAGACAGGTGTCACCAGGTTAAGAGATGGCTGAGATACAGGCTGGTGACTGGGACACAAAAGAGGGTCATCGGTTTGGAGGTGAGTGGTGCACAGTTCAGAGGTCACTGGGTCAGAGGTGGCTGAAGCTCAGACCTTGGGACTCCTCCTCACCTGTAGGCGGAGGCGACGGGGTGAGTCCCCGAAGGGCTGCAGAGAGCCATCAGTGGTCGAGGTGAGGCGTGTGAGGCAGAGCAGGAAGTCAGGGGGGAAGCTGTACTGTGGGTGGAGCAGGGGGAATGCTCTCTCCAGGAGCTGTGCCCAGAAATCCGACAAGGTGTCATCTAGCCCCTCACCAGACTTCTCGTAGTAGTCCCGAAGGCGAGAGAACAGGCCGTTGAAGATGAGGGCGTGCTGGGAATACAGGCGGCCATAGGAGTGCGAGAAGAGCTGGGCCAAGGATTGCTGGGATACAGAAAGCATCTCCCGAAAAAACTCTAGCAAAAGCAGGGAGTGAGAGTAGGTGGTGAGGCCAGAGAAGAGAACAGTGAAAGGGCAGAGGCAGGCGAGGTTAGGGATGAGGAGAGAAGAGAAGAAACAAGTGAATTAGAAACTGGGCAACTCTCAGAGACCTGGCAGATGGGGAATTAGGGGGACAGGGTCCTGGAGAGAGTCTGGGCAGGAGACTGAAGATAAGCAGGGCTAGGCAGGAGTGGAATGTCTTAGGACTGGAGGAGGAAGAGGAGACAGGAAGCTTGCCGGGGTTTTAAGCACAGGAAGTGTGAAGTGGCTTTGGGGACCCCGTGTCCTCACCATTAAACTTTCTGTGCCGGGTAGCCAGTGTGTGAACCAGGAAGGAGCCACTGTCCTCCACCAGGCCCCGGAAGGTGGCCTCAGTCTCTCTGATCAGCTTCTGCTCTGTGTCACTGGAACAGCAGGTGTACTCCTGGGGACAGAACTGGAGGTGCTCTCCTGGACAGGGAGACAGGGAGGAATGGTAGCAAGGGTATTGTGAAATGCTGTCATCTCTCACCTATTTCTAGGGACTAGCCTATCTCTCCCACCTATCTAGTCTGTTTTTCTTTTGTCTGCACCCCTTATAGCCACCTGACCCCTCCTTATTGTCTCCTCAACCCATCTCAAGTACACTGTCATTGGCCATGGGATCATTTATTTGACGGCTGCCCTGGTGGCCAAATTAGTGATCAGGGTGTCTTCAGGTGACCCTCCCCAACATCCTACACCCAAGGCCTCGGAGGGACTTGCAGGACAGCTTCAGTGGGATGAAGAATGGGGTTTAGAAGGGTGGGTTTACCTGGTAAGCAAGAAAGTATTACTATGGAAGGGGCTCCCAGAAATAACGCTGAGAACCTGGCTGCGAAGAAAGAAACGTAGGAGGGGTGCTAATTACTAGAGAGGGATTCCTGGGGTGGGGGTGGAGTAAGTGCTATTATGTGAGCAGGAGGCTTATTGTGATCCTGGTAAGGAAGTTACAGGAGGAGGAGCGAGATTACTACGGGATGAAAAGATTATTATAGCGGTCACTCTAAAAGGAAAGAGAGTTATTGTGAGATGCGGAGGACCCGCCCCCCACCCCGCGACCCCCGATTCTCTAGTCTTCCTCTTTCTCACCTGAGATGAGGGCGGGAGGGATTAGGTTTAAACTGTATCCCCGGGCCCCCAGCACCTGCCGGGTCTCTGCACAACTCCTGGTGACCTTTGCCTCGCTCCCGGGTCCCGGTCCAGGACCGGGACAGAGAGGCAGCAGCAGAAGCAGGAGAGGTCGCAGCGCAGACATAGCTGCAGTCTCTCTGGGACAGCAAAGTGGGTCCTAGGGAGGAAGAACAGCCGACCGAACTCCAGAATCCGGTACTCGGCCGCGGGACCGCTCTACCGGGCAGAGAAAGAGCGCGACCTCCGAAAATTGAACACCAAGCACGATTGCTGGACCAGGCAGCATCTGAGAAGACAATGGGAGCCCGGAGCTGGACAGGGGGCGGGGTCCGAGACGGGGCCTCGCCAATGATGATAAGAAGCGGCCCCACGGGCGGGGCCAGAGGAAAAATTAAACCAATGTAGTGGGGAAGCTCGGCAGGAGGGCGGGACAAGGCCACACGGAGGCGTGGCCTTTCTTGGGGGCGTGGCACTCCTGCTCGAAGGGCGGGGTCTGGGTGAACCCAGCCTATTGCAGTGGAGAAACCAGATTGAAAGAGTTAGTACTAGTCTAGTCCGAAGTTCAGCCAATGGTGGGAATTTATGGAACAAGGGGCGGGGCCGGGGTGCTACAGGGTTACAGCTGGCAGCCCGGGCCTCCACTCTCAAGTGACAGAACTGCACGCTTGAGAACTGCCTGCTGCTCAAGACAGCTGGAGTAGCGTGACTGGAACGTGGCGGCACGTGCTCGCACACTCCCAAGTCTCGCGAGGACTAACTTGAGCCGAACGTTGGTCTCGCGCTTGCGCATAGTGGGCCTCGTGCCTTCCCGCGTTTTTCTAGACTCTTCCACCGCTGAAAAGGAAGTGGCAGACTCCTGTGAAGGAGGTGGGTGACCACAGGGACCTGGTGAACCTCAGGCAGTGACCTTTGCTCTCGTCTAGAAGTCACTCTTCCGGGCTCAGACAGTGAGGTTCTCCTTTGGCTCAAGAATGCGCCGTCCCCTACCCTAGGTGCCCAGAGATGAAGCGAACCCCCCCCCCCCATGTCAGTACTTCTGGGGCCTGGTCCGCAGCGGCGGGAACCTCAAGCCTGAGAGACGAATGGTTACGCGTTTGGAAGCCTGAATAAGTTTTCCTAGTGTTCCCCATAGACGTTCCCTTCAGGAAAAATACAACACACCACTTGGCATCTCCATCCCCCAGGGGTTTTTTGTTTGTTTGTTTTTGGTACCGGGGATCGAACTCGGGACCTTGTGCTTGGAAGGCAGGTGATGGGACCACTGAACTAAATCCCCGGCCCCTCCAGGCCCAATTTTTTTTTTTTTTTTTTTTTTTTTGTACCGAGGATCAAACTCAAGACCTTGCGCTTGCGAGGCAGGCGCCAGAACCACTGAGCTAAATACCTGGCCCGAAAGAATGCAAAGCAAATATAGTATTTTTGTTTGTTTTTTGGTACCAGGGATCAAACTTGGTTCCCTGCGTTTGCGCAGCAGGCGGCGAAACCACTGAGCTAAATCCCCGGCCCTCCAGGCCCAAATTTTAAGCGCTTCCCATCCTGGTGTTTTTCTCCTTATTTTCTAGTTTCTGAAGTCCCTAAGAGGGGTGTGGCTATTACTACTCAGGGTGCTTGGGGAGCAGCTCCAGAACCTCTAGCCACTTAGTGTGTATGGGGGAGGGGGTTCATTCTTCTTTCTTTCTTTCTCTCTCTCTCTTTCTTTCTTTCTTTCTTTCTTTCTTTCTTTCTTTCTTTCTTTCTTTCTTTCTTTCTTTCTCTAATGGAGATGGAAACTAGGGTGTCACACATGTTAGACAAGCGCTGTACCGCTTAGTTACATTCCCAGCCCTTGAGGTGGTGGTGTCTTTATTTTTATTTTATTTTGCTGTACCGGGGGTTGAACCTAGGGCCTCCGCCCTGAGCTACATCCCCAGCCCTTTTAAAATTTTTATTTTGAGACTAAATCTTCCTAAGAGATTGAGTTGCCCAGGCTGGGCTCAAGCTTGGGAACCTTGGTGTCTTTAATCCTTTGATGTGGCTAGGCTAGGTCAACTCTTCATTATTTTTGGTACCCCCACCCACCCCACCCCATGAGTTCTATAGCAGTTCCTTTGGAGAGAAGGGGGGTTGGTCGGTACCAGCGATGGAGGAGTGGTGTGGCAGGAGCCTTTTCCTCTCTTCTTTCTTCCCCCAGCTGGATCAGCATGCCTACCTTAAAGTCCTCGGGGTCTTCCCCGCAGCTACATAGCTCCTCCTCCCCCAGTAGTGTGTCCTCTTCACTACAAAGAACTGTGGGAGTTGCGCAGAGGGCCTTGTCGGCTTCTTCTAGTTCTTCTATCAATCTACCCTGTGAAGATAAGGACTCAGAGCTGGCTTCCAAGGGGTGAGTGGAGTTGGTGAGAAGTTTTAGGATTTTGCTGCTGCCTCCTGTATCTTCAGCGGCTTTCCAGTCTATCACTTTCCTGAACTGGTTGTAATATGTGTAGGACTGTATGAAAACATCAGAAAAAGGTTCAGAACAGTGATGTGCTCCATCTCTGCTGGGTATTTCTTGGCTGCCCTCCACCTTGTGGAGGGCACATACTGTCCAGCTTGCTGTCCCAACCTATCTTGAATGCATTTCTGTGTTCAGCATATATAAATGCTGTTGATGATTGGAGAGTGGGAGATTTACAAATAAATTACAGTGTTTTATATGTTGCCTGACAACATTTTAGTTGGTGTCCTGTAGTTTCCTTTGAGATTTTGTAAACCAGTCTATCTATCCTTTTATGGTTTATGAGTTTATTCTGTGAAAGTTAAAGTAGTATGTCTTGGTTTTCATTTTTCCAGGAAAAACACCCTACTCTCCTACAAGATTTATTTTATCGTCTCTTTATTTTAATTGGGGTTCCCTGAATCATTTCTGCTGCTGTCAGTGCTACTGTTGGAGATCAAATTATATCAGTGTTACAAACTTTAATCACTAAAACATGTGGTTGTGTTTCAAGGGGTGAAATGTAACTCCAGATACATATTAATCTGTTTACGTATGAGTGACATATGAATGAGTGATGCTGACTTTTTGCCACACAGAAAAGTAGTTCCCCTGCTGATGAATACCATTTGATTCCCTTATTTGGAGAGAATATTAGGAAAATGTTGTCCTTCACCTATCTCATTTTCTAGTTGATCTCTATTGCATTCAAGAAACTGAAAATTTTGCTTTAAGACGTGCCCCTACTTTCTTGTAACTATTGCTGCAAGCTCGTCTCATCTTAAAATCTGAATATAGTTTTCTCACAGAGGTAGGGTACAGTTAGAGCCATGAGCATTATAATTAGTTAACCTTTGTGTAGAGGAAGTGAGATGGTGATATTTAAGGAGAGCCATACTCCCTCATAGGGCTGGTCCCTCTTTGTCGGGTGATGAAGGCAGTGACTTTGAAGACAGCCTGAGGCGGAATGTGAAGAAGAGAAGAGCAAAACGACCACACAAAACAACCCCAGTGAGTCAGTTTTGTTTTGGTTTTGAACCTGGTATAGGAAGCAGCAAAAGAAAACTCATAAGAGGCTCAGGTGACGGGATTAATGAAAAGATAAGACTTAAAAAGTTTTAAGGGTCAAAATTAGGAAGAAGATAAATTTTGAAGAGAAAAAAATAATAGAATACTAGAATATAGAGGTATGAGAATGGGGCCTATGAACTTTTTTTTTTTTTGGTACCAGGAATCAAACTTGGGACCTTGCGCTTTCAAGGCAGGTGGCGGAACCACTGAGCTAAATCCCTGGCCCTGGCCTATGAAATTTTCAAAAAAAAAAGGTTCACAATAATGTAAAAATCAGTTATATAAAATCAAGTGTTGAGATCGTAAGGTAAACTCTTCTGTGGAATTAGCAGCTTAAGCCCACATAGGTGATAATGAAGAAACCAAATATAACATCACTTTCCTTTTTTATTATGCCTGATCTTTTTACACTTACTAGGTGGCAAAACATCCAAAGAAGGGGTCCCAAATTATATGTCGAAAGGTCCAGAAAAAGTCAGAGCTACCAGCCTGTGATCTCTTTGATGCCGTGAAAGCTGCCAAAAGTGATATGCAGGTAAAGCAGAGTATGTCACCTCTGTTTCTTAATACTCTCTCTTTATAAGGTAAGAACACGTGTTTACAAAATCAATTGGATATGGACATTTTAGTGAGCATAATGTCAAGAAAGATGACATCATGGATTGAATCCTTACAGAATATAAGGGAGATCATAGATGAAAATAGTTTTTTCCTAATGGAATCACAGGACAGAGTAATTCTGCATTTATTGATTGATAGAGGAGGCAAAGAGAAATGTTGATGACCTAGGAAGAAAGCCTGAGTATGGGTGGCAGCTTGTTCACTCCTTTTACTTTTTAGCACCCCTGCCTGACAGTTACATCTAATTATTTTTACCTCTCATTTTTTTCTCATTTTTTGTTTTTAATTGCATATTTATTATCTAAAAGGATGTAAAGCTTGTGTGTAGTTTTGTGTTTGTTTTTTTTTTTGGTACCGGGGATTGAACTCAGGACCTTGCACTTGCGCGGCAGGCGCTGGAACCACTGAGCTAAATCCCCGGCCTGCTTGTATGTAGTTTAAAAAATAAAAACAAAATGTTCACCTACATCTCTAGCCCCTAGCTCAAGAGATGAAACATAAATAGAGCCACTGAGGCTCTGTGTGTATCTTCTTTCCACCCTAGTCTCCTTACTGCCCAGAAATAACTACTAGACTGAATACTGTTAATTATTCTCTTGTATTTCATTATAGTATTAACCACTAGTGATTATGTTCCTCAATTTATGTGAGTGAATCTTTTCTTTGGTTATCTGTGACTTGTTTCAGTTAGCATTGTATGAGATTCATCCATACTGATGTGAAATGTATATAGATTTTTATTGTGTTATCGCTTCTCGGCCTTTTGGCTAAGATCAAGTGTAGATTTTTATTGTTTTAGGGAGGTATTTTAAATTTTTAAACATGGAACTTTGCTACCTAAATTTTTCTTGTGATTTTTAACTTTATTGCATAGTAGTCAGAGAATGCGCACTTTGAAATTTATAGAGACCCAGGTTTATGACTCAGTAGTCAGTTACCAAAACCACTATACAGTTACTTGCAGAGGATGTGTGTTTGCCAGTTGTTGGATACAGTGTTCTCTTGATAGGGATTGAATAAGTTAAACATGATATTATTTTGATATCTCTGCTGTTGTTTTTTTGTTTTATTTTGTCTTGGTCTGTGTAATTAGTCAAGTTATAAGGAGAGATGTGTTAAAATCATGTTGATTTTTTTTCAGTTATGCTTTTTGTATCCATGCCTATGTTTATCTTAGATATTTTGATATTTTAAAATTTCTATAGCTGGGCATGGTGGTGCATGCTTGTAATCCCAGCACTCAGAAGACTGAGTCAGGAAGATCACTGAGAGTTCGAGGCCAGCCTGGGCTACAAAGTGAGTTCTGGGCGAGCCTGAACTGCATAGTAAAACCCTGTCTCAAAAAGACAAAAAAAAAAAAAAAATACATATAGGTTTAGAATTGGTATAGCTATTCAGTAAATTAAACTTTTGTTACATACTGACACTTCCAAAAGATGTTTTGATGTTAATATACCTTAACACCAGCTTTATTTTTGGTTAGTATTTGCCTAGTACAGTGGTGGTGAACCTTTTAGAGATCAGTGCCCAAACTTCAACCCCAAACCCACTTATTTATCGCAAAGTGCCTGTGCTGTAATTAAACTGAATACTAAGGTTTTAGTTTTAAAAAAAGTACTCAGAAATTAACTTTTTTTTTCTTAAAAGAAAAACAAATAACATGCATGCCATAGGTTCACCACCACTGGCCTAGTATGTATGTGTATATATGTGTGTATATATACGTGTGTGTGTATATATATATATATATATATGTGTGTGTGTGTGTGTATATATATATATATATATATATTTTTTTTTTTTTTTTGGTACCGGGGATCAAACTCGGGTCCTTGCACTTGCGCAGCAGACGGTGAAACCGCTGAGCTAAATCCCTGGCCATGGCCTAGTATATTTTTTCTATCTTTTCACTGTTTTTTATGTATGTTTGGGGTCTGTCTTGTACATACAACATATATCTGGATTATGTTCTTTATTTTGCTTATCTGTAATTAGAGAATTTAATCCATTTATATTTATTATAACTGTTGATGTATTTAAATTTATTTCTACTATTGTATGCCTCCCCTTTATCTTACCTTTACTGTGTTTTTTCTCCCTTTGCTTATCTTCTACAAGGATCTGAGTACATTGTAACTCCAATTGTCCCTTCCAATTTATGTGCTGATGTATATCTTAAATCTATCCATTTCCCTTCCCCAACAGGTAATACCATTTATTGTTTTATATAGTCAACATTTGTTAATAACATTTTTACCATTTTCATTGTTCATCATACCTTGGATCTCAGCTCTCCCATATTGAGTCATTTTCTTTATGTCCAAAGTTTGTCCTGTAAAGTTAGCTTTATATAGAGGCTTGTTAACAAACACTATCAGAAAAAATAAGAACCAAGATATATTACATTCAAGTATAAGTTCCCAGTGATGAATGTGATCATAATGTATACCTACAATGTATGAATAAACTTAATGGGAAAAAAATGAAAAAGAAACACTGTCAGATTTTTCTTATATGGAAATAATTTTTTCTTAGAAGTCTGTTTATTAGTTATAGAATTTTTGGATGACTTTTTTTTTCTCAGCTCATTAAAGAAATTATTCCACTGCCTACTAGTTTCCCCTTGTTGCTTCTGAAAGTCAGTGTTAGTCTAATTTAATGATGTCCAATACAACATTTTATAATGATGGAAATGTTCAGTATCAGTATCCATCTGTGACTATTGGGCTCTTTCATGTGGCTGGTGCAACTGAGAAATTGGAGTTTTAATTTTAATAGCCATATGTGGCTGAGGGCTATGTATTTGTACAGATCTCATATGTAAAAATTAGTTTTTAAGTGCTAAATGCAGATCTTTTGTAAGTAATCTCTTTTTACTTTATTTTGAAGACTTTGCTTTTGTGTTCTGATGTCATGTAGGTTGTTTAAAAGTGTAGGCTAGGTATGGTGGCACATGCATGTAATCCCAGCACTTGGGAGGCTGGGGCAATCGGATCACTGTGAGTTCAAGGCCAGCCTGAACTACATAGTGAGACCCTGTCTCAAAAAACCAAAGAAGGAAAGGAAGGAAGAAAGGAAAGAAAGTAAAGAAAGGGAGGAAAAAAGAGAGAAGGGGGCGAGAGGAAGGAGTAAATTTCCTTTTGTTTGTTGTGCTTGAGATCCATTAGCTTCCTGACTGAAGAGGATCAGTCCCTTTTGATATGTATGGAAAATTATTTTCAAATACTGACTTTTCTTCATTTTGTTATCTTCTAGAATTCAGTGAGATCCCATTAGAACTTCTCAGTCTCATCAGCATGTCTCTCATGTCTTTCAGTATTTCTGCCGGTTTGTCTTTCTGATCTGTATTTTGGATACTTCCTTTGACTTAGCTTCCAGTTCACTCATCTGCGTTGCTGTATCCGGTCTGCTTTTGCTTCATCTGTTGAAGTTTTAGATTTTATTTTTTGTATAAATACAGTTTGGGGCCATTTTCAAATTTGATTGTTCTTTGTTTCTACTTTAGGGCTTTTCTTCTTTCTTTAATCATACTAAACATAATTATTTATAATCTGATAACTTTAGCGTCTAAAGTATTTGTGAATGTAATTCTGCTATTTCTCTAATTCTTTCCATTGCCTTGTTTAATTAAATGTTTCACTAGGTTTTACTGTGACTCACTCATTTTTCCTGGAGCTGTATGTGTTGTTATTCTTTGGGGCCTGGGTCAAAGGTGGGTTTTAAAGAGAGGAATCTGCATTTGCTTCTAGCAGTTATATGGGGACCCTCCAGAATTACTTCTAATTATCCACATTTTCCCCCTAGTCTTTGGTGGATGAGTGGCTGGAAAGCTACAAGCAAGATGAGGATACAGGATTCCTGGAGCTCGTTAACTTTTTCATTCGATCTTGTGGATGTAAAGGTGAAGAAATACTACCTATTTCTCTTCCTCAGCTTTTTATTCCTACATTATGAAATGTTATTTTAAAAAGTAAGATTATAGACATTTTCTAAATAAATAGGAAGGTGAAACATAAGAAGAGTTTCACTTAACTACATTTTTGATTAGTAAATAAGGGAAGTGTTCTAGTAGGGAGCAATGCTGGTTTTTCCCCAGGGTCTTTCCCCAAGAGCCTGGGCAAAAATAATCACACTTATGTAATAATAATATTCACAAATTTGAAAGTGAACTATCAGATGCCCATTAGTGTTTTGTAAATGAAATACCCCTTATTTTATTTCTCACTAGCTTCTTCACATATATTTTTCCTTTGAAGCTATGGAGCTCCTAGATCTCCACATGCCATGGCTTAGTTCATAGACTGATAGTGTCATTCAGGTTGTATTATAAGAATCCAGCATCTGGTTTAGTTTGTTTTCTTTTTTTTTTTTATTAGTTTGGAGACTTTTTAAAGCCATGGTTTCTCACTGCTTGGTTCCTTTGAGTTTTCTAGAGAGGATCCACAGTTGGATGGTAGAAAACTTATGACTGGGTCAGGTTTTTCGATTTCTCACTTAAGTGCTTTTCAGTATGTTCCCTATTCATCTTCAGATATATCTGTCAGTGACACAATGCCCTGTTATTTTCCTTTTAAGTACCTCATCTCCTTCATTCTTTAGGCACTGTGACCCCTGAGATGTTCAAGAAGATGTCCAACTCAGAGGTCATCCGGCACCTGACAGAACAGTTTAATGAGGTGGATGAAGATGACCAGGATACTTCTTTCATTTTAAAATTCAAGACCCATTACGTCCTTTTCTATGATTCTGGGAAATAGGATAGCTTTTCGAAGAAAAAGTTCAATCTCTTGTGGCTGAAAGGGACCCAGAGATATTATGCCTCTGGAGTTGGGAGAACAACGGGAAATGAAGTATATTAGAAATACATTTCAGGGCTGGGGATTTAGCTCAGTGGTTTCTCCGCCTGCTGCACAAGCGCAAGGACCCATGTTCGATCCCCGGTACCAAAAAAAAAAGAAGAAATACATTTTCCTGTACTATTGAGTCTTGACAGACAAGTCCTTGTGGTTTTTTGGACTGGATTATAACTTTCTCATCCTTTTCATAGGACTCAGGGGACTATCCCCTGACAGCATCAGGTCCATCCTGGAAGAAGTTCCAGGGCAGCTTTTGTGAGTTTGTGAAAATGTTGGTCTGTCAGTGCCAGTACAGCCTCCTCTATGATGGCTTTCCTATGGATAACCTCATCTCTCTGCTCACTGGCCTTTCGGATTCCCAAGTCCGTGCCTTCCGTCACACTAGCACCCTGGCTGGTGAGCACTCATTACTTTGTGGACTTTGTTGGGGATTGGTAGGACTGCCCTCTCTTCTCTGGTTCTGGGTCTCCTTTTCCACCTTCATTTTAGCTCTTTTTTTCAATGCCTTATTGCTTTTATCTAGTTTCTCACTAGTGTAAAGGGGAATTGATTGCAGCAACAATTTCCAGTCTTAGTATCTTTTTCATAACTCACCCCTGGGAACACACTGAGGGTTAAAAGAAAGCCAAAGAGTTAGGGGAAAAAGTCCACTGCAGCACATGAAGTCTTAGAACTTTAGGGTCACCTTTAGCTTTTCATTTTCTCTGCCCTTTTTCCCTTCTCTTTTGAATTCATGCACAACACTTTTCTGACTTAATGATTTCCTGCACAACACTTTTCTGACTTAATGATTTCCTTGTGTTTTTCCTGACAAAGCCATGAAGCTGATGACTTCCCTGGTAAGAGTTGCCCTCCAATTGAGTCTGCACAAAGACAACAGTCAGCGTCAGTATGAGTCTGAAAGAAACAAAGGACCAGAGCAGAGATCACCTGAGAGGCTGGAGAGCCTCCTGGAGAAACGCAAAGAGGTGAGGAGTACTTCCTGCAGCTTCTCTCTCTCTCAGCTTCCATCCCCTACTGCCTGCAAGACCACCTTATCAGGCTATGGCCCTTCTCTCCATATGCACAGGCCCCAGCAGCCTTTCAGATCAGAAGTAATGGAGTCTGAAAATGACTTACCAGGCCCACCCTGTGAGGTCATTGTGTGCTCATCTTGTTTCTGGCATGGGAGCTCAAAATCATGTCTAATAATGAATTTAGAGTTCTCTTTATTTCCACTTTTATTCAGTTTCAGTTGTCTGCACTCCTTATCAGAAGTGCTAAGGTGCTGAACCTGCTTGTCATACAAGGAGTTAAGTTTTTACCTTCACGTTAAATGTACAGTGTACAAGTTACCAAAGGAGTAGTGAAAACTAGCCCCTGACCAGGGAAGCCAAGTTGTCAAGGAATGGGAAAAGCACAGGCCTAACTTTTACTCCTTGGTATGAGTTCTGTTCTAAATAGCCATCAGCTAGCTCTATGACCTTAAAGCAACCTCTCAAAGCTTCAGTTTTCTTTTTCTTTAAAAAGGGTAATTCTTCACCTGGCTCGCAAGCACAAGGTCCTGAGTTCAATCCCCAGTACCAAAAAAAGGGTAATTCTACATTTTCATGAATTTAAATGAGATGTTGAGAAATTGCTTAGTTTGGCACATAGTAGGTATTTGCTTTGTTTCCCTTTAGACTCAAACACTCTGAAAGACATAGCCTTAGAAAATCTTTTATATTGATTAAACTTTAATTTTTAGTTTAGTTTTTTTTTTCTTTTTGGTGCTGGGGATCGAACTCGGGACCTTGCGCTTGCGAGGCAGGCGCCAGAACCACTGAGCTAAATCCCCGGCCCTATATCGATTAAACTTTAAATAGCTGTGTCTATCATGAATGGAACACTGAAGTTTCTTCCCCACTCTCTGTTAGTATTTGAGACTCCCTTGCCATGAGGTTGCTGGGACACACCATATCTAACTGCGCCAATTGGCTGTTTCTCCAGCCCTCATAAAAGACCTTTTCTGTCCTATACCATTACAGAAGGAAACTTTCTATTCCTTCATTTTCTTTTGCTGTTTTTCACTCTCAGGATGATCTTAAAGGCCTATGTATATTAATTCACAGTTATCTGTGAGCTTGCTTCTATAGTTTCAGTTAGTCATGGTCAACCAATGTCCAAAAATATGTACAATTTAGGAAGATATTTTGAGAGAGAAACTACATTAACATAAGTATGTAGTTATAATTGTTCTATGTTTTTAAGCTCTTACTGCACCTAATTTACAACATAGTACAGGTTGCTGATCAAAAATCTGAATTCAAAAGTGCTCTAAAGTCTAAATTTTTTGAGCACCAATATAACACTCAAAAGTTTTTGCATTTTGGAGTTTTTCAGATTTTGGACTTACAGATTGTGTTTGCTTAATCAGTAAAGTATGTTCCAAAATCTGAAAAGTTCTGAAATCTGGAGTATTTCTGCTCTCAAACATTTCAGAGGATACCCAACTTTGTGTGTGTGTGTGTGTGTGTGTGTGTGTGTGTGTGTGTGTGTGTTTGTGTGTTTGTGTGTGTATGTAGGGTTTAGTATTATGCACAGTTTTAGGCATCTGCTGTGTGTGGGGGTTATGGGGGAATAATGGAATATATCCTCTATGGATAAAGAGGGACTAGTGTACACTAGTGCAGTTCTTTTTTATTTTTTGTTTTTTTGGAACTGGGGATCGAACTCGGGTCCTTGCGCCTGCACAGCAGGCGACGAAACCACTGAGCTAAATCCCCAGCCCTGCAGTTCTTTTTTGTATTCTCTGGGCTTTTGAATGATCGATTATCATTCCCCCTTTTTATTTTATTTTATTTTATTTATTTATTTTTTTGGTACCGGGGATCGAGCTCGGGACTTCCCGCTTGCAAGGCAGGCGGTGGAACCACTGAGCTAAATCTCCCGGCCCAATTCCCCCTTTTTATTGTTGATAAAAGCCCCACCCATACATACTGGTGTTTTCCTCTTGCATTTATAAATGTGTGTATAAGGCCCTTGAATCTTCCCTCATTCTACTTCTCTGTGATCTACTCCTAAATCTTTCCTTTTGGGTAGTATTTCCTTCCTTAATATCCAGCTGAATCCTTTTTGCTACCTAGCTTCTATCCCCATTTATTTGAGACTTTTACTTTTAAACCAGTGATTTTCTAAGTACTATAACCAGTGTCTTTTCCTCTATCTCCCCTTTCCAGACTTCTGTAGAATTTGATACTGATCATCTAGTTTTCCTCCTCCTTTCCTTCCTTTTTCTTTCTTTTTTTTGGTACTGGGGATCGAACTCAGGTCCTTGGGCTTGCAAGGCAGGTGTCAGAACCACTGAGCCAAATCCCTGGCCCCTCCTTCCTTTTTCTTTATTGTGAAAAATTTCAGACATTCAGAAAACCAGAGACATTTGGTGTACTGAATACCATATAAACATTTGGTTTAACAACTGATATTTCACTGTATTTTCTTGACTTTTTTATGCTTTTTCACAGTAAGTTATGGACACATTGATCCCTCAACCTTCAATATAGCACTTAAGTTTGTCCTCTAAAGAATAACATATTCCTATATAATTTTAGTACCATTTTCATACCAAAAAAAGTAATGATTTGCTACTATTTTCTTCTTTTTTTTTTTCCTGTGGTAGTGGGAATTGAACTCAGGTCCTTGTGCTTGCTAGGCAGGCATGGCGCCACTGAGCTACTTTCCCTGCCCACCCTAGTATTTTCTAATTCCAATTCATACTTACATTTCCCCCATTTGTTTCCCAGATCCCTTTTACATCTGGTTAATTCCAACCAGAATTTTTTTTCCAACCAGAATCTTAGTAAGGCCTGTGCATTGGACATGGTGGTTGTATTTCTTATTTATGTATGTATGTATGTGTTTATTTATTTATTTTTGGTACCGGGGATCAAACTCAGGTCCTTGCGCTTGCGCAGCAGGCGGCGAAACCACTGAGCTAAACCTCGGCCCAGTGGTTATATTTCTTAAACCACTTTTAATCTTACATGGAATATCTACCTCCCTCTTATTTCTTTCCCATATATTGATTTACTGAAGATATTGCATCTCTTGTCTCAAAGAAGTTCCTTTTGTCCTTATAATTCTACTTCTTTGGTATTGTTCATCTAAGCCAGGGTTTCCTAGCAAAGGCACCACTGACATAGCTGCTCTTGTAGAATGTTTAGCAGCATTTGTTGCCTTTGCTGGAGCCAGTAGCACCCTGCTACCTACTCTTAATTGTAAGAACCAAAAATATTTTCAGATATTGCAGAATGACCTCTGGGGGATAAAATGGCCCAGATGAGAACCTCAGATATAAGTTCTTGCTTTTCTTTTTTGCTGGTTATATCAAAGCACATTTATTAAAAATTAATTTTCCCTACTATTAGTCAAAAACATACTGCCAGCTAGGGCTTCTGAAGAGTGAGAAGAACCACGCACACAAGGGGGTATTTTTACCAAACTAAAATAAACCTCTGAGGATTAGTTGACTATATCATTTCTTCTAGAATTTAAGAGGAAACATAGGATTTGAGGTTCACACTATGTCCTGTAACAAGATAAAAATGAAAGTAGTACTTTTCTATATCTTTTGTGACCTTATGCTGTTAGGGTATAAGAGAGATTGATCTATTCTTCCTTGTCCTTCAGCTCCAAGAGCATCAAGAGGAGATTGAGGGGATGATGAACGCCATCTTCAGGGGTGTCTTTGTCCATCGGTACAGGTGAGTGATTGGGCTCCTCTTTCTGAAGCAGCTTCTCCTTGGTTGTGGAGCCTGTAGACATGACAGTGCTCCTCCTGTAACCCTGATTTATTTGGTTAGTCCTAGAACTAACACAGCTGGAGTAAAAACTCTTAACAAAGAATGAGTTACCTTAAGTTTTAATTTATCCCCACCTAAAAAGGATCTTTAAGCTCTTCTGGGAGAGCAAACAAAAGGTTAAGGCATTGCTGAGTATTTTCTTGCTCCAGTTTTGCCCAGGACCTGCCTCAGCCTGTCTCCCATCTTTCTGGTGTTGGAGAGTTGAAAGGACAAGAACAAAGGTAGCTTTTCTGAGGTGTGTGTGTGTGTCTCGGCAAGCCTTTTCCTAATCCAGCTTCCTTGTTTCACTGTATGAAGAACAAGAGAGTTTTATACTGTTTAAAACACTGGTAGAATTAGGCTGGGCATAGTGGCGCACATCTGTAGTCCCAGAACTTGGCAGGTTGAAGGAGGAAGATTGCTGTGAGTTCAAGGCCAACCTGGGCTGCATAGTGAGACTCTGTCTCAAAAAAAAAAGGTAGAATTAACTTTAACAGAATTTGTAGTAGTTTTTCACTTTCATTTGGATTTCAGCTTCTGCCTTTTGGAATCTTGTGACTGATTTAATCTTTTCTTGAAGTGAAACTAAACCTGCATACTTTAGTCAAAAGTTAAATGAACTTTCAAAATCAGTTTTTATAAAGGGTGTGAAAGATAAGATGTACAATGCTGATTCCACTCTTCAAAAGTGTTTACTTTCCTGTGTATTTTGTGTTTACATTGGGAAGAGGAAAGTCCCGGTACCTGCTTTCTGTCAAAAGTGCTAGGAAGGCATGGTGGTGTACACCTGTAATCTCAACACCTTGGGAGGTTGAGGCAGGCTTAGCAACTTAGTGAAACCCTGTCTCAAAATGAAAAATAAAGTGCTGGATTTACAGCTTAGTGAAGGTCCTGGGTTTAATTCCCAGTATCTCATTAAAAAATTCTTCAGTGCACATTATATACATTTATGGAAATGCCATCCTGTATCCCATTAATGTGTACATTTAATATGTTAATAAAAAGTTACACAGAAAAGATTCTTCAGTGAGAGAGGACTACCTGGTAGGATGAGAATGAATTTGGAAAGTGATAGTTTATGTCTCTGTCTAGGGACATCCTTCCTGAGATCCGTGCTATCTGCATTGAGGAGATTGGATGTTGGATGCAAAGCTATGGTACCTCTTTCCTTACTGACAGCTATTTAAAATATATTGGCTGGACCCTGCATGATAAGGTGAGAGTCAAATCAGTCTCCTTTTCCTCGTTCCCCTCATCTTCTCTGCTCCAGGACACCTCACCTTTTCCTGGTCCTGCCACTTAGACATTTCACATAGTGAGTAATGATCAAGTCATCAGGGCACTGAACCTTGAAACTCCCCTAGTACTGGGGATGGTAGGATGAGGTAGAAGAGAGAAAGACATGTCCAGGAGATGAAATGCCTTCAAAGCGGAGGTAACAGGGAGAAAACTTTCCCTATGAAGAAAAAGCCAGAAAGTCATTGCTGGATTGGTGATAACACAAATACTAGACTGGTAGCCAGAGATCCTTTTTCTCATGCCTGCTCAAGTCTTCCGTGATGTGTTTGTGTTTTGAATAAAAGGACAGCTGTTTATGGTCTCTTCCATCTCAGAAGTCTTCCGTGTTGAGAGCACCCAGACCTAGAATGAGGAATCTGCAAGAGGTATACAGAAGCTTAGTGAGGTGAGTAGTGGGTCATGTTCCTTTTTCCTGTTTGTTCCTTCGTGACAGCACCGGGATGTCCGTTTGACATGCCTGAAAGCTCTGCAAGGGCTGTACAGCAACCGGGAGCTGACTGCTCGCCTGGAGCTGTTCACCAGCCGCTTCAAGGTATGATAGGGACAGCACTCCTGCGCTTGGCTCCTTGCTTTGTGGTTCCCCTTTCCCCAATGGATATCTTTCTTTTGTTGCTCTATTCCTGCATCCTGTCTTTAGAGTCTCTCAGTTTATAAGATAATGTGATGCTCAGTGAGATAGAGTGATGCTCTCCTGACAGGATCGGATGGTTTCCATGGTCATGGACAGAGAGTACGATGTGGCAGTGGAGGCCGTCAGGTTGCTGATCTTGATCCTGAAGTGAGTTCTGGCAAGTGGGGAGGCAGCACCTCAGACTTAACATCAGGCAGGCCCCTTCAGAGTCCTGTCCCCAACTGTTCACAAGTTGGCTCTTATGTGTAGGTTGAAAGACAGAGGTTACACCCAAGTTGAGGGTCCTCAAGGGGGAAGCTTTCTTGTCTTCTCTAACTCTCCACACTCCTCTATCTTCCACTCTTCATTTAAAAGTTCTCTGTGAGTCATATCCTTGTTTTTGCTTCAAACCCTGATCATTCTGGAGGACAGCATCCACACCCACCTGCTCTTCCTCCTTTTTTCTCGACAGGAACATGGAAGGTGTGCTGACCAGTGCAGACTGTGAGAGCGTCTACCCTGTCGTGTATGCTTCTCATCGCCCCCTAGCTGCTGCTGCAGGGGAGTTTCTGTACTGGAAGTGAGTGGGGCTTCTTGTGGATCTCTTTCACATCCTCCTGTCTTGTTTTTTCTCATCCATTGCTGTTCTGTCTAGGAGGCCCCAAACCTATTAAAAGTCTCTCTTGGCATCCTCTTTCCTCTCAGCCCCTTGGGTTTTCCCCCATTCTGCATTTTTTCCCCTTTGCTTGTTCCTTGGACCCTTTCTTCCCTCTGTGGTGAATTGGCCTTCCTCATTTTGTGCTATGCCCTTTTGTGCTGTGCCCTTTCCTTGTGTCTATCCCACCAGGCTGTTCTACCCTGAGTTCGAGATGAGAGCAGTTTTTGGCAGAGAGCGACACCGAAGTCCACATGCCCAGAGGACTTTCTTCCACCTTCTGCTGTACTTTTTTATGGAGGTTGAGGTGACGTGTGCATGGAATGTCTAGCTGTTGTGCATAAAACCTCCAAATAGAGAAGGATGGGTGGGCACTGTGGGAAAAAGGTGATGTTTATTAGCAACCACTTCCTCCTGGAGAAGGGTTTTTTATTTTGAAGGGTTTTTCTTTTGGTGGTACCGGGGATTGAACCCAGGGCCTTTGCACTGAGCTACATTTCCAGTCCTTTTTTTTTTTTTTTTTCTTTTTGGTATCAGGGATCAAACTCGGATCCTTGTGCTTGCAAGGCAGGTGGTGGAACCACTGAGCCAAATCCCCGGCCCATTCAGTCCTTTTTTTGATACAGGGTCTTGTTAAGTTACTGAGTTGTCCAGGCTGGGCTCAAACTTGCAGTCCTCCTGCATTAGCTTTCCAGTTCTGGAACAGTTTACATGACATCATTAACTTACCCAGTGCCTTCTCCACAGCTCCATGACCATGCCACTTACTTAGTAGACAGCCTGTGGGATTGTGCAGGGCCTCATCTCAAGGACTGGGAGAGTCTCACAAGCCTGCTGCTGGAGAAGGACCAGAGTGCGTGCCACATGGTAGTCAGGGATGAGGACCTTGGACCTCCTAGTGTGAAACTGAGAGACTTGTAAAAAACAGGAGAGGTGGCATGGGGTGGAGGGTACTTGGAGTGGCTGATCTGTGACTGTGTCTGTATTCATCCTGCCAACCTAGACCTGAGTGACGTGCAGGAGAACACGCTGATAGAAATCCTTGTGTCCAGTGCCCGACAAGCTGTGGAGGGTCACCCGCCTGTGGGGCGGGTCAGTGGGAGGAAGGTATGGCACGAGGGGCACGTAAGTAGGTGAGCAGTACTGAGGGCAGACATGTAGTGTCCATTCTTATTCTTAGGTCCTGGGTTAGGGCATTTTATCTGCCTCTTAGAGAATTCCATCTCCAGAAAAAAGAAACATGAGAAGCACTGCTGGGCAGAGATCATGGGGAGGAGGGATACACAGATAGATAGAAACACTGGACCCAGTGTTTCTCCACACTTTACTTAACCCCCAAATGACTGATTCCAGGGCCTATCTGCTAAAGAACGCAAGGTCCAAGCTGATGACAAGGTGAAACTGACAGAGCATCTCATTCCCCTGTTGCCTCAGCTCCTGGCCAAGGTAAAGCATCCCCTGTTCAGCACAAGGGCATGAAAGAGTGAAAGGAAATAGCCCCTGAGGAGAAGAATTAGCCTATTAGCTAATAAGTAGAGCTCTGTCTCTATCACCACAGTTCTCAGCTGATGCAGAGAAGGTTGCTCCCCTGCTCCAGCTCCTCAACTACTTTGACCTCAGCATCTACTGCACTGGGCGCTTGGAGAAGGTGAGGCAGGAAGATGTATTCTTTATACCTCACTAGGCCCCTGTGAAGGAAAGGATTCATGCAGCATCTGCTTTACTAGAACCTAGTAGAATCGTCTTCCTCTTGTAGACATCCTTGAAGTTTACAGCTTTTGGTTCTTTCTCACCTCCCCACTGTCTTCTGTTACCTCTTTCCCTCTCAGCACCTGGAGCTGCTCTTGCAGCAGCTCCAAGAAGTGGTGGTGAAGCACACAGAGCCCCCCGTGCTTGAGGCTGGTGCACAAGCCCTCTATGTGCTCTGTAAGCCTGAGTTCACATTCTTCAGCCGGGTTGACTTTGCCCGCAGCCAACTAGTGGACTTGTTGACCGACCGCTTCCAGCAGGAGCTTGAGGAGCTGCTACAGGTAGGAGCTGAGGCACATGGTGGGACACCACAAACGAGAGGGAGAGGGCCACGGGGAGCATGAATCAGTGCATTCTTGGGACAACCCTGCTATAGGCCTTCTTTCTTCTTCAGTCGTCTTTCCTAGATGAGGATGAGGTATACAGTCTGACAGCTACTCTGAAACGTCTCTCTGCCTTTTACAAGTGAGCATCTCCCTCTTGCTCCCTTTCCTATTTCCCCTGGTGTCTGTGGAGTTGATTCCCTTTGTTTTGTTCCAGTATAATGTTTCCCTTTTCCCCCAAAGTGCTCATGATCTGACTCGCTGGGAGCTCTATGACCCATGCTACCGTCTCCTCCGGAAGGCTGTGGACACGGGAGAGGTTCCACACCAGGCAGGTAGACAGGCTGGAGATGTGGAGGCAGGAGAGGTGTTCTTTTTTTTTTTTTTTTTGTACAGGGGATTGAACTTGGGTCCTTGTGCTTGTGCAGTAGGCAGCAAAACCACTGAGCTAAATCCCCAGCCCAGGAGAGGTGTTATTAAGGGCAGGACCAGTCCCCTGGGTGTGGAGTAGATGTATGGAGGAAGATCAGTTGGGGTCACTCCTTCCCCTCCTCTCTTGGAAGGCAGACCATGTTTTAGTGCCTGAAAACATCAACCTTGGGTTTCCTTGGAGAGAAAAAAGATATTGACTGAGTGCATTAGGAATATTTTTCTCTAGGATAGGAGCCTCTGAAGATTGTCCAAAATGTCAGTTCTTTTCTGCCAGAAAAGGAATTGGGTTTCCCCATTCTCATTTTCTCTCTTCTTCACTATTGTATGGGTAGTTGCAGCTGTGGGTATGTGTGTGTCAGGCTCTCCCCCCCCCCCCCCCCATCGTTTGTGCCTTGCCCTCATTCGCTCACCACCTGCCCCTCATTCTACTCACTCAGACCTTGTTTTTCTGGCATTTTATGGTCACAGGTGATCCTGCCAGCCTTGACTCTTGTCTATTTTTCCATCCTCTGGACACTAACCCACATTTCTGGGTCAGGTGGTTCCCAGGTGAGTATGGGTCTAAAGAGGGAGATGAGGAAGGAGGAGCTATTGTCTTCATTCTCCCTACAAGCTGCTCTTTCCACAGAAGCAGTTGTTGAGTCTGAAGGGCAAAATGGTGGCCGTCTGTGAACTCTGCCAGAACTACCTCTCTGGTGTGGATCTGCAGATCCAGGAGCAGGTGAGCACTCTTTCAAGTGGGAGCAAGAAGGGGAACGTCCCTCTTGGTCCCTCCCTGTTCCACAGGGAAATTAGCTGTGCACTTCTAGCCTTAGCAAATACTCTATTTTGTTTAATCATCCTGTTTTTTCCCCCCAACAGGCTTTTGTTTTATTGACTGATCTGCTTCTCATCTTCAGCCCTCAGATGATTGCAGGGGGACGAGATTTCCTTAGGCCCCTCATCTTTTTTCCAGAAGCTACTCTCCAATCTGAATTAGCCAGCTTCCTCATGGACCACGTCTTCCTTCAGTCTGGAGACCTGGGCAGTGGTACTGGAACTCTTAAGCCTGTGGCATACGAAGGGATTGGGACTGGGCCTGGCTCAAGAATTTAGGGCAGAGCCCTAAGCTGTGTTTGCATTCTGTCTGTATGGCCCAGGTCAGACCCAGGATGATCACAAGCAGATAGAGCAGCTGAACCAGCGGCGCCGCCTCCTTGCTGGGTTCTGCAAGCTGTTGCTCTATGGGGTACTGGAGCTGGATGCAGCCTCGGATGTTTTCAAACACTACAACAAGGTACTGTGAGAGTCTGGAACACAAAGGAGAGGGGACTAAGCAGAGCACAGCCTTGAGCTCAAACACAACATCTTAGAAAGGAAGGTGGGGTGGGTCTTAGGGGATCAGGCTTAAAGGAGAAGGAAGAGGAAATGGGAGTAGGAGTTAGAATCAAGGGACAAAGGAAAGAGACTTCATAGTAAATACAGAGAAAAAGCTACTAAGATATTCGCATTCTTTGCAGGGAGCATAGATTATTCTCCCTGCTTGAAAATCTGCTTTTCTTCAAACCCAGTCTACAGACTAGAGTAATGTAAGAAGGGAAAAAAAAGAGGAGGAAGGAACCAGTCTTTGCAAGATGCATAGGTGGGTAGCTCAGTCTTAGCCCACTGACTCAGTTGTGTTACTGAGCTCTTCCCATGTCGAGGACGTAGTGAACAGAACACAAGCCCTGTTCCATGGCGCTTCCTTCTGGTGGGGAAAGATGCACAGACTTCTGGGCTGGCTGAGAGTGGGCACTGGCACTCACTCCTCTTCTCCAAGAATTGGAGTCAGGAAAGTTTCTTCTGTAAATTTTTACCTAAACTGTGATTTCTTTTGGGCTCTGCACCTATTGGTTAAAGAGGAGATCTAGTCTGAGGTATTTAATGGTTAGATTCATGTTTTCCTGATTCTTGCTCTTTGGGAAGGAGGCATGATTACAGATATGAAAGAAAAAAGAAAATCTTAGACTGTTAACCAGTACCGTCTCCATTTCTCTCCCTCAGTTTTATAATGACTATGGTGACATTATCAAGGAAACATTGACCAGAGCAAGGCAGATTGACCGAAGCCATTGTTCCCGAATCCTGCTACTGAGTCTCAAGCAGGTACTTGCTTGTGCCCAGAGGACCTCAAGACTTTCAGGACCCCTCCCTATTGTCTCCACATTTTTGCTCTCAACTCTTAGGATGTAAGGTCCTTAAGAGGAAAAATTTCCTTGTTTTGAATCTTACTTTATATGACAGGCTTCTTCATACCCAGGAGACCCCTAGAAAATCTGTTTCTAACAGGGAAATTTTTGCCCAACCCTAGAAATCACCCCTCAGTTAGGATCTGGGAGCGCCAACAATGAAGTGACAGAAAATTGTTCCCTAGCGGCCTCCTTCCTTGTCCTCCTCCAGATGTCTTTATTTTTATTGAGCAGGACTAAAGACTGCATGTGGTGAAGGGGGTCAGGGCTTAGGGAAGTGTCCTGGGAGGAAAGATACAAAATAGATGGCATTCCAGGCAACTCTGGAATTTCTCAGTAGAGAAGGGAATGCTGTGCTTCTCTAGCGCTGCCCTGTTCCTCCCTTCCCCAAACTTGCCACATCTCCTGGACACAGCTATACACAGAACTGCTTCAGGAGCAGGGACCCCAAGGTCTAAGTGAATTGCCAGCCTTCATGGAGATGAGGGACCTGGCCCGGAAGTTTGCCTTGAGCTTTGGACCCCAGCAACTGCAGAACCGTGACATTGTGATGAAGCTCCACAGGTGAGGAAGCAGTGGTTGGGGCTGGGTTCAGGGAAGGCTGGGTATAAGGTCATGGAGGGAGAGTAACTTGGAAAGAAGTAGCAGTTAAATTGGTGGAGGGTATGCTGTCAGAGACAGTGGGGGACAGAAGGGCATGCTTGAACAGGGTGTTCCAGCCCTGGGAGGGAAGTGGGGAAGGGACTATCTTCCTAAAGTGATTTTGCCCCACTAAGGGAAGGCATCAAGTTCTCCTTGTCCGAGCTTCCTCCATCTGGCTCCTCTGATGAGCCCCCAAATCTGGCATTCCTGGAGCTCCTTTCAGAGTTCTCTCCCCGCCTTTTCCATCAAGACAAGCAGCTGCTGTAAGTTCATGGATGAGTAGAAGTGTGGATTAGAGAAGGGCCTGGGGAGGATCTGGTGGCCACTTCAGCCTCTCTGCTCCATGCCTCTCTTAGACTGTCCTACCTGGAAAAGTGTCTGCAGCGTGTCCCCCAAACACCTGGCTGTCCCTGGGGTCCGGTCACTACTTACCGCCACTCCCTCAGCCCTGTAGAGAGCACAGCAGAGGCCAACCCTCAGGGCCACTCCCGCTCCAAGAAGAGGCGTATTGAAGGTAGACGGCTGGGGGTGGGCATCAGCATGCTTGGCATGGTGGGCCTGGTTGCCATTGCTTAGATGAGCAGGAGACGGTCTTTGACTTCATCAAGCTTCTGCTCTGCGAAATATTTCATTAAGCAAGTACTAGAATTAAGGGTGTTTTGCTTCAAGGTTTAGCTAGCTAACTAAAAATAGCGAATGACAATAATAAAACCAAAGATTTAACTAATCTGTACATTTGGGATCCTCCCCCCACAGCTTGTATTCCATTGTTTTCAAGATTTTTTGCAAAACCTTTGTGAATTTTTTTTATCTTCAGATCACCACCTGCCTTATAATTGACAGTTTTTTCTTTGATTTTTTAAATCATAGTGTCGTACTAAGTGATAATATCCTAGAAATGAGTTTGATATATTATTTTCTAGTATGTATTTTTAAATGTGACTTTTTAAATGTTACAGGTTTGTTGAGATATAATTCACTATATACCATAAAACTTACCCTTTTGAAGTATATGCATTGATAGTTTTTAGTATATTCACTAAGCAGTGCAGCCATTACCACTTTCTCCTTTTAGAACATTTTTCATCACTGCAGAAGAAATCATGTACTTCCCATTAGCAGTCACCTCTGATTCTCCTCAAACTCCCAGCCCTAGTGGGTATCACTAATCTTCCTATCTCGGAATTTGCCTGTTCTAGACACATTGTCTAAATGTGGCCTTGTGTGTCTGATTTCTTTTACTTACCATGTTTCAGGGTTTATCCATGTTTTAGTGTGTATCAGTACCTCACTTTTATAGCAGAATATATTCCATTGTATAGCTATACTGTACCTTACTGTAGCTATTCATCAGTTGATTGACATTCGAGTTGTTTCCATTTCTTGACCGTTAAACATGGTGATGTTAAGATTCATGTACAAGTTTTTGAGTGGACTTCACTTCACTTTTACTTTAAAATAGCATCCATCTGGGTTTTCTCGGGGAATGAGAACCTCAGGTAATAACCTTTAGAGTTGTCTACCTCTGCCTTTTCCAGTCTGCAGAGAACAGCAGATCGTCTATTCAGCCTTCCCACCAGAACTACACTGTCATTTGTCTGTGTGTGTGTGTGTGTGTGTCTCTCTCTTTCTTTCTCCCTCTCCCTCCCTCCCTCTTCCCCTCTCTCCCTCCCTCTCCCTCTCCCTCCCTCCCTCTCTCCCTCTCTCCCTCTCTCCCTCTCTCCCTCTCTCCCTCTCTCCCTCTCTCCCTCTCTCCCTCTCTCCCTCTCTCCCTCTCTCTCCTTGCCCATTCCTCCTCCCTCTCTCTTTTGGCTCTCAGAAAATCCTGTGTCCCATTTTCCTGCCCCCTCTATCCCTCATGGGTCCACTGTAGCCTCTAGTCCAAAAACTGTTTGTATTTTAAGCTTTTCTAACCACAAAACTCTAGAATGGATAGGATTTCAGATGTCCACTGATTTGCTTGATTCAGACCTTTCAGTTGTAGTGAATCTAACCCTGTCCACATTCATCTTTGCATGTTACTGTTTATCTGTGAAATGGATACTTAGAGTATCTCTTTCCATCTTGTTTTCTAAGCTGTGTAGTGAGTTGTTCTTGGACAAGGTTCAGATGTGATCCTACAAGCCTTATTCTGTAGTGTGTTGGGCTGCACATTCAGTATGGAGGACTCTGCTTATTTTTGAGGTAGAACAGAATGAGGATGTATAAGTTTTCCATTCTCTTCTGTTTAACTTTCCCTTACTAAATCCTGCCTAGGTCTTAAAAATTAGACAGGGCCGGGGATTTAGTTCTGTGGTTCCACCACCTGCCCCGCAAGCACAAGGACCCGAGTTCAATCCCTGGTACCAAAAACAAAAAACAAAAAAACTCCAGAAAACTAGAAGAACATTTTTTGGGGCCGGGGATTTAGCTCAGTGGTTTCGCCGCCTGCTGCACAAGCGCAAGGACCCGAGTTCGATCTCCGGTACCAAAAAAAAAAAATTAGACTATGGCAGGTCCCTGGGCTACCTGCTGTATACATCTGCTTCCTTGCAGGCCCCAGCAAGCATCAGAGAGCAGACCAAGAAGAAAGCTTGCAGCTCAACAGTGTCCCACCCACACCTACCCTCACTTCCACTGCTGTGAAGAGCAAGCAGCCCCTGGGGGTGCTGGGAGAGACTGAAGAAGAAGATGGCTTGGAATCAGAGTTCAGCCAAAGGTAAAGCTGAGGGGAGACTGGTCCCAGGGTTGGTGTTTCTCTTCAGTCCCCTGCAGCACACCCACTTCCTTCAGTGCTTCACTAATATTTATTTTTTTCTCTAATCTTATCTTTTTTTCTTTTAGCTTTATGATGTCTTTTTCTCCTCACACTCTGAGCTTTTCTCTCCTTAATACCTCTTCTTTTTATCCTTTACTTTTTTGTTTCCTGTCACTGATTCTGCTTCTTTCTCAACAGCCGGTTCCTCTCAGGTACCCAGAGGCCGAGGTTCTCAGGTGCACAGTATTTTCAGACTTCATCCAGCCCTTCAGGGCCTGGTCTGGACAACAAGCTGACCCGGTGAGCTTTTCCTCATCTTCTTCTGTCCTCACTTCCTATCTGTCACTCATCCTGAGGAGATTCTCTTCCTAGCCTGAGCTTCTCTGAGCCCCAGAATCTTCCTTCCAATATAGTGTGAGGGCCTAAAATATAGAAAGGTGCTCCCACTGAGGCAGGAGTACTTTACTTCCTGCCTACTGCTTTTCCCTGGTGCCTCTGTGAAACTCTCAGGAGTCCTTAAGGAACAGTTTGGAAGCATCTATTCTTTGCCACTATCTGTAGACTCAGCCTTATGGAAGAGGATGAAGAAGAGCTAGAAAGTCTGGATGAATCAAGTGAAGAATGGCAGAATACAAAGAAGGTATGTGGATCCAGCATTCCCTTTTTGCTCTAGACCTGGAAGCTGATAGATAGGAACAGCACAGGAATCCTCTCAGCCCTGATGATGCCTTTGGCTTTGAACATTACTGAGGACTTTTTGAAAGAATCATAGAAGAAAGGAGGAAAGGTTGTAAGTTGCTGTGGACTGTTCTTGGACTTTGCTTTTATTAGAGAAGTGAGGAAAATAAAAATAACAGGATTATGAAAACTCTCCCTTTCCAGCCAAGTAAGTATTGGTGTCTCTGAACCTTGTTTGAGTAGAAGGAGCCCTGGAGGCAGGCATGGAAGGTCATCAGATTCCCCCCTCTCAGGGCATTCATGCAGCTCCCAAACACAGCCATGCCCCTCCCTTCTCTCCTCTCTCCCAAGAGGGCTGCCTGTCCCTGTCCTTGTCACTCCACTCCCTGGCTCCTTGCTTCCCCTGGAGGAAGGTTCCATTGTAGTAGGGAAAAAATACAGAGCTTAGAGTGAGGTGACCTGAGTGTGAGTCCTCAGTTCCACATCAGATTAGCTCATTACCCCTTCTCATTCTGTTTCCTCATCTTTACATTGGAGATTTTATACGAACTACCAAGTACAAGCACCTTATAAACTGCAAAAGGCTATGTCTTATTTCCTGCTGCCATAACATAACACCACAGACTGGTGGCTTATAAGCAATAGACATTTGCTGGAAGTCCAAGGAGGCCAGAAGTCTTAAGGTCAGGTTCTAATGTGGCCTCCTATGGGTTGCACACTGTCTGATGTCTTGTCTGCTCTCACGGAAAAAAGAGCATAGTGGCCCTCTGGCTTCTTAGGGACTGATCCTATTCATGAAGGATCCACTGCCTGATGTAATCACTTCCCAAAGGTCCCATGTCCTAATACTGTCCTGCATTTCGGGGGTTAAGATTCCAACATCTGGCTTCAAGGGGAACATAGACATTTCAGTCCAGAACAGGCTGTGTGTCTTTATCTTACCCTTGTGCTCTCTTCTCTGCTCTGGGAAGGGGAAAGAACAGAATAAAACAGGAGAATGGAGGCCTTGCGCTCAGAGGAAAATCCAAACAATGACATCCTCATACCAGAGACCAGCAATCAAGGACTCTCTTCTATTCAGAGCCTATCCTAAAGTCCTTGGAGAATCCTATTCTCTGGCTGCAAAACTGAATGTATTTAAGGGGTTCAGGTGACAGGTCAAGAGAGGAATTGCTTCTGTAATGGGTGCTGGGCAGCTCCTGGGGCTTGTTCCTACATAACTGCACACAGAGCAGTGCTGTTTGTGCCGGGAGGGAGTGAAGAAAGACCTTGCTGATTTGACACCATTCCCTCTAGCAACCTGGTAGCCACTCTTCCCTCAGTGAACATGGACTGGACCTACTGGATTCCACAGAGCTGAACATAGAGGTGAGTGTGCCTGGAGCCAGGGATTGTGTCCTTGGAAATGCTGCTGGGCAACCTGTCAAGTGGACAGAAAGGCTAAAGCCCTTGGGTGGCCCTCTGGTGGTCTCTGGAGCTTTAGCAGGGGAAGTTAGGTTCAACCAAGGGTATGCAGTCTTCTGTTTCCCCTTTGGAATCTTGTGATGACTGTATCTTCCTTTCATCCTTTTCATTACAGGATTTCTGACCAGACCCTGTGCCCCTCCCTTCACCATTCCCCACCTCAAGGACATGACCACTTGGAAAAGACAAAGAGGAGGAAGAAGCAAAATGAAGAGTTTCTTGAGGCCTCAGCTCTTGCCTCTGAGGAGGAGAGGTGGCTTTGCCTTTCTCACCAAGCCTCCTCTCCAGAGGTGTAGAGAAGCTGAGAGTCCCCGTCCTCCCTGATGTGCTGTGGTGCTGATCTCTGTTTCTGCTGTGATTGGAGTGAGGTGGGGCTTTGCTTCCACATTGGAGAAGAGCACCAGCTTCTTGAGTTAAATGAGCCCCTGGTTTTCTGTCTGTTTGGGACTTCTTCCCCAGTTTCCTCCAAGCCCAAGTGGTAGCTCAGTAAACGTGTTTGAATCAGCCAGTTTCCAGGTGTGGTTTGAGTTTGTCATGCTGATGGAGATCTGGTTCTTAGGTTGCCTGGAACATAGCCCATGTTGTAGGTGCCAGTTCCCCCCGGGGGCTTTGTATGAAGGCTGTCAAGGCAGAGATGGGTGGGGCAGAGGCACAGATACAGAGGAGAGTTTGGGGATCTCCGAGCAATTGAGTGGTAAGGGTTTGAGTTGGGGTGAAGGAAGCTAGGGGAGGGACCTTGTAAAAACTCCCTGTCACACCTGCTGAGGCCAGCCCAGCCCATGTGTGTTGACAGACTTGATCTGTTTGTTCCCAGGGTAGTTTCACCCTCTCACCCCAAAAGACACTTGTCCTAAGTTAAAATTTTATAGACTCACAATAGCTGAGAGTTAAGAGGAAACTGAAGTTACTCTGTGTCCAAGCCAGACCCAGTCCTCGACTTTGCCTTCATCCTTGCCTTGCTCAGCCAGTCCTTCAAGGCATCTCTCTGGTCTGTTCTCGTTGCCATTGCCATCCCTCACCTAGATGGTCCCCAAATTGCCTTGGGAGACCTGTCTCCTTGAAACTGGGACTTGCCACGTAGCTCCTGTTTTGCCTTTTGCAGCAGTAGAGGACCCCTGTGCCCCTTTCCCTCTGACAAGCAGCCACAGGTATGAAGACTGCTGGGTCTCTTTCTGCTTTCACTGTTTTCTTCTGTAGCTCAAGGGAGCCCTTCAACTTTTCTTTTTAGATTCGATTTCCAATTTGTCCCCATTCTGGATATCTCTTTAATTACAGGTTCTCACTGTGGTCTTCCAGGCTGGAACAGCCATCCAACCTGTTGTGCAAAAAGAAGGATGAGTTTAGTGACCAGGCCATTCACTCAGCCAGAACCATTTCTTCGTCCTTCCACCTCCTACACTGTTCCCATCTTCTTCCCCAGTCCTACCCCCCAAATAAAAGCTAAAAGTTGAACTGTGAGTTTCCTCTTTGAAGGGCAGCCTGGCAGTGCCCTGGGGCAGCTGACCCACTAAGAGACCTAGGCCTGGATTCAAGTAGAATAGTTCCATGGAAAGCTAGAAGCAGAGTGGAAAAACGGCTGGAGATGTGGAAGTCATTAACAATCCAGGAGAGGAAAATTCCCGAGGTATTTAAATACCAGCCAAGTTCAGACTGTTCAGGCTGACCTTGAACACACTGTGTAGCCTAGGCTGGCCTTGAACTAGGGATCCTCCTGCCTCCACCTCCCAAATTCTGGGTTTACCAGCATACACCACCATTCCTGGCACTAAGGGTACTTCAGAGATGAAAAGTGAGATGTAGCAGCTTTGTAAATATGGACGTTCATATTGCAGCCAGACAGCCCAGAATGGTAGGTTGAGCCCCAGCATCAGAATTTGCAGAATTTTTTAGCGTGCTCCCCAAATTCTTTAACATTCTTCATTGAGGGGTTAGATCTAGGTCCTTCCCCTTAAATATGGACTCTGTGATTGTTAGACTAATAGAATGTAGTAGCAATGATGCTGTGCTGGTTTGTAGAGTCAGATTTTAAGTACTGGCAGTTTCTGCTTCCTGCTTCATGAGCTGGTGAGTCTTGGAGCCCAGTCTCCATGCTGTGAGAAGGCCTGAGCCAGCCACATGGCGAGGCCCTGACCAGGTACTTTAGCCAGTAGCTCTCACTGAGCTTCCAGCCAACATCCAGCATCAACTGCCAGATGTCTTCCAGATGGGAATCAGATGATTCCAGCCTCCAGCTCTTAAGTTTCACCAGCTACGACCCAGGCACCAGGGAGCAGAGCCTTCTTTTCTGTGTCCTTTCCAAATTCTAACCACAGAAACCATGAGTACAAGAAGGTGGTGGTTTACACCACCAAGTCTAGAGGGGTTTGTTGCCTTGCCGTGGTAACTGGAACAGAACCTAAGAGTCATGTGACTCCAAAAGTTTAGGCATCTTTGTGTGGGTTTTTTTTGGTACCAGGGATCGAACTCTGGTCTTTGCACTTGTGAGGCAAGCGGCAGAACCACTAAGCCAAATCCCTGGCCCTTGCATCTTTATCAGTTAAATTACACAAACATTAAATCCTTTGAAATCCAATGGGTGAGTTAAGTTTAAAAATATCTACTAGTGGGCGGGGGATTTAGCCCTGGTTTTGCCGCCTGCTGCACAGGCGCAAGGACCTGAGTTCGATCCCCGGTACCAAAAAAAAAATCTACTAGTTAATAATAGTCCAGAAAACCTTTTTGCCCTAAAAGGTTTTAAAATGAGAAACAGTTTAAAACCAAGGTTCGGTGCTCTGAAGTTCTAGTTTAAAGCTGTTTTGATACATAGTTTTACCAACTTGTATAACTTGCAGAACATAGAAATCCATAAAGCACTTTGCATTAATGCTTTAATAGACGAGTTCAAAATCACTGCACGCCTTCATTTGGAAAAGTTGGAAGCGGGTCAAAGAATGATTTCCAGGTGCAGATGGCAGCATTCTGATAGGTGATTCACACTGTTTGGGACCCCCCAAAGCTAGTACATCATGTAGCATGTAAACTTCAGTTGTGTTTGACCTGTGAGTTTGCCTCTGTTCCCCTAGGCTGCTGATCATATTAGAGGAACCACGACTCTTGGGACCCAAAGGGGACACCAGTGACACTTAATAAAACTTTATCTTAAAAAGTTAGAAATGACCGTTTCTCCTACACGGCGGTAGACAGATGTCTTGTGAACCTCCTCAGGGCGCCTGCCCAATTATAAGGAGCTCAGCTCTGCCTTCTGCTGGCTGAGATCGGAGCAGGCCAGGCAGGACCGAGTCCCTGCCAGCCCAGGTAGACCCAGGGAGGGCCCTGCACAATCCGAGTGCTGCCACTCAGTGCTTTTCAAGAGCTGGCTCTGCTGCACCAATACTCTTAGCTCAGTACTGAATTATTGTTTCATTTAAAATAATTTTCTGGGGCCGGGGATTTAGCTCAGTGGTGCCGCTGCCTGCCTCACAAGCACAAGGTCCCAAGTTCGATCCCGGGGAACCAATAAAAAATAAAAAAATAATTTTCAATTAGGCCTTATCTTCTTTAACCCCTATATGGTCCTGAGTTCTGCCAGGTGAGAAGTTGATATCTCTTGGATTAACAAAATGAAGAAATTTCTTTCCAGATTTTTGAGAAAATCTTTAGCTACTAGGTAAGTCACCCCGTCTTTGAACCCCAGGATTCTTGACCCAGAGGTTATGTGATGAAAAGAGAATCTGTGCCTTGATGAGAGGGGAGGCCGTGCAGGAGGGCAAGTTCTTTGCACATGTAGACCTTTGAAAGTCTTCCCTGAGCTCTATAGATCCTTCCCTGGGCCAGGATGAAATGCATTCCTTGTTTAATGACCGAGTTCAGTCCCTTGACTAGGTTGCTAAATAAATTAGTTCTTAAATGAGGAACTGTATATTGTACGTTACAATATTCAGAACAAAGAAATGGTCAAAGGAATCACAAACTTGACTTCTATTTGTATAACTTTTTTTTGTTTTTTGTTTTTTTTGGTACCGGGGATCGAACTCAGGCCCTTGCGCTCGCACAACAGGCGGCGAAACCACTGAGCTAAATCCCTGGCCCTATTTGTATAATTTTTATATGCAGTACTCTAGTGAACATAAAACTATAGTATTGTACTACACAATCAGCAAAAATTATAGGACTGTATAAACAAGGTATACTGTAGCAAAAAAAAAAAAAAGACATGGAAGATCTACAGACAAGATGTACAGAACTGTACCAAAAATAAAGGCTGTAAGTCTGAACAGCACACCTGGGTCATAAGCCTGAATAGTCGTTAAACAGAGCAGTTGTTAAACAAGGAATATCGATCAGTATTGCAATCTCAGATTCATAAAACAAGAGTTACTTGAGTGTAGATTCACTGAAACCCTGAGATTGTGCTGGGTCAGGACAGTATGGAGAAATGCCACCAAGGGTCTGTGGTCAGGAAGGGACAGAGAAATGAGTGGAGAACCCCCCCGAGATAAACCAGGGAAACTGCAATAGAGCTTAGTGTGCAAGGGAGCCCATAATTGGGGAACTGAAGGGCAAATGCATTTAATTTGACTTGGTAGATCGTAACCAGTGAAGGGATCAAATGGTACAGTTAGAACCCAGAAGAGTGTCTTGCACTGTTGAGGTAACCTGTCTGAGGTGGTGTGGGAACAAGGGAGGTGGCTGGGCCTAGAGATGGAGAGGCACAATGCACACCCAGCCTCTCCATGGCTGGGGCAGAAGACCGCTGTTCGTTGTTGCCACCTCATAGTTCAATTTTGATTTTTTTTTTTTTTTTTGGTATTGGGGATCAAACTCGGGACCTTGGGCTTGCGAGGCAGGCGGCAGAACCACTGAGCTAAATACCCAGCCCGTCAATTTTGATTTTTTAAACCTTGTGGGAGAGGAAGCTCAGCATACTGGATAATATTGAGGGTTCTGATGCTAAAATTTCTGTCAGGGTTTAAATCCAGCTTCACTGTATAGTAGCTTTTTTACCCTGGGCATGTTATTTCCCTCATAAAGTGATTGTTAAGTGTAGAACTAATATGTGACTCACTCAGATTTACCACAAAGTATATACACTGTTACCTTTTGTTTTCATTACTTTGATTTTTGTTTTTGTTTTTTTGAGACAGAATCTCACCATGTAGTCCAAGGCTGGCCTTGAACTCACTACAGCCAAGACTGGCCTCGATCTCATGGTGATCCTTGTTACAGGAATGTACCACCATACCCAGCTTGCAATATATTTTTTTGATAAAAGATAAAATGTACTTATAAGCATCGGCTAAGTAGCCTTTTCCATAACATTTAAACTGTGTAAAAATAAATGTAGCAGTTATGTGTTTGTGAAGCTCACATGGGCAGGACCATACTTTAGTTTCCTCTATAATTTCAAGCTATTCTCCAGCGCTGCTGGTGGAAAATTTAACTCCTGATTCTTCCAGCTTCCTCTGTTTTCCCTGAGGTTGTGTCAAGTGCCAAGGCCTGGGGGAGGGAGGCAGCCTCTGCCCACACAGCATGAGCCCCCACAGCTCATGTGCCAGATGTGGCCATAGGAATCTGCCCAGCCTCACTGCCAGGGCCCCTCCAGTCCTTACCACCTCCCAGACTCTGCCCCTTTCTTGGGGCTCAGCGCCTGCTTCACCTCAGGCCTCTCCCTACCCTGCCCTCTTCCACACAGGATGGGGCCTCTTGTGGCTTGTGGGATAAGCTCTCCTCTCTTCCATGGCTTCTTGCAAACATTTTATCTGAACCATGAGTTCTCTCAGATTCCATAAGGAGGCTGACATTTGAACCTAAAATCCAGAGAGACGGCCAACACCGTCTGCTCTTCTCCCATCGCCAGTCACCACCCCGCCAAGGTCACATGTCTCTCAGAGACAGCTCCGCTTAAAAGGAAGGCAGAGAGGAAAAAATACTGGGGGAAAGCATTGTTAGTTATGATCTCAAAAACATCCAGAATATTTATAGCCATGCCACTTTCTCTGTGGAGAGATGAGGCCCTCCACGGCCCTGTGTTGGGTCTCAGGAACTGAATGTCAAATCAGCTGTCTGGCTTTCTGTCTGCATTAGACCCAGCCGGAGGAACAGGGGCTGCCCAAGGTGGAGGTGGTTGCTTCTTTGACAGAGGCTTTTGAACTAAGACAGCTGCACCAGAGGTGCGGAAGTTGACATCCCCTCAGCCTGCCAGGAAGGTATGGTAAAGATCATGACTTTGTGTGTTGTCAGGTCTTCCACACAAGCCCCAAAGAAAATTGACCCCAATGTCCTGGAGAGAATGGGGTAAACTCAAGGAATGTCTCATACAAAATGATGGTCCCCAACCTTCAATGAGGCCTGCACCAGCCAGGCAGAGGGTCCCACCTACAGTGACAGACTTCATCTTCTCAGTCATCCTGGAAAGCAGCATCATTGCTTCTGGGGTATAGCTGTTTGGG